CCTCGCCTTGGGCGTACGGCCGTGTTGCAGCCCCCCCGCCCCCGCTCCGAGCTTGGGAGGCTGCAGGGGCCCCAAGAGCTGTTTCCTCAGCCACGTACCAGCAGGGTGCTCGGATCGGGGGCTCTGCTGGGGCTGCCATCGGCCCTTGCCACTGCGGTGGGCAAGGGCGGCCTTAGGCCTCCGCAGCTGCACTCCGGGTTTGGCACAGCCTTGGAAAGGCCTTGGAGAGCAAAAGGGAAAACTGGGGAAAAGGAGAGGAGGGGTGTGGGGGAGGGATAGAAAGTAGATCATTTCTCAAAATGTCTTGCTATAGCCTTGCTTTGGTCACCTGTGGTTCATCCATCAGTGCTGATGAATCTGCCAGCATTTTTTTATTCCAATCTACTGACCCACTTGGTATTGTTCTTTTACTTGCACGAATCCATGCTGTCAACGCCTTTGTTCAGTTGCCTGATGGTTTCCATCAGCGATGCGAAGATGCAGACCTCTGCTCTGAGCCGCAGAAGCTATTTCCTGCTCAGCGCGTTTGTCATCAGTAATGACTTTCCCAGACAGGTGCATATTCTCACATGGATGTTGGAGTCTGAATAACAGCATGTTTGCTGCTTGAAACCATCATGGTTTCCTCATGATTAAAGCAATTGCTGGTGATTGGATTACGTTTTATTTTTGTGCCTAAAGGTAAACTAATGAACTTACTCCCTTTCAAAGAGTATAGCCACCAGCCCCCGTTGTGCCTGAACACATCTCCTGTGTGAGCCTGTAATGAATCTACTGAGAGGTGCTACTGGCCTCTCTCTCCATTTGCTCCCGCTTGAGAGGCTCACTGTAACTCTTATTGCTCCACAAAGCTAAATGGATTTAGGACTGGGGCCAAGCTTAAGATTTTTCTTTGCCTTTTCAAATGCTTCTGTTTAGATCTCTGATCATCCTCAGATGTGTTCAAGATGTGTCAGTAATCCCAAAGGAGAGGCAGCTATCTTTCAGAGCTTACACACCCTGTTCTGTAAAGTGGGGAACTGATTTCATGTTCTTTGACTTGGATCAAAGAACGTTATCTCATTACCTTTCAGCTTCCACGTGGAGTTGCCCAGACATCAAGCATCAAGTGACAAATATAGAAGGTCTCAACTCTTTGACTAAAGTTCTTCCTATTCACCCTAATTCTTTGCTCTTCGCAATTATTGTAAGTACTCATCTTTCTGTATCGTGCATTTTGGTCAACAGCTTTTCCCATTAAAAGAATGTGATCAGCTGTATCCTGACGATGCATCCTGAACCAGGCACAAGTCTTTGTAAGGCTCATACTGAGTGAAAAGTTATGTCAAATGTTACCAAAAGATAATTTCAGCTTACCAAGAGCTCTTTATGACATGATAAGTAATCGACACCTTTTTTGTGAAACTTCAAAATGCCCTTCAAAGTTCCCGAATCTTCTAAAATTTGTATCATAGGCAACCTTAAATGTTGGCCTTCTCTGGAATACTTGGCTTTATAGCTTTGATAACGTTCTTTTAAGGTCATTGTGTATGATTTACTGCATAAGAAAAATGGAAATGGAGAAAAACATAATTTCCATCACGTAGCATTCGTACGATATAAACAGATTATCAGTAAAGTTGGACTCCACAAATAGACATCTGCTACTTGTGCTGAGCAATTAAGAACTGTAGCAAATTATCTTTACATGGAAGATCACTTGTAGAGAATGAGACGTTTTAAACACTATGTTTCAGAGACACTCAGAACAGTTTCAACACACGTGCCCAGTCGATATTGCTGCTATTTCACATGGGTGGTATGTAATTGGTTCTGCAGTCTATAAAGGGTTTAACTGGCTGGTATAAAAGCAAAGCTGCACGTTCATCAGTCTTATGTCACATGCTGTCTGCTGCAGCACGTGAGCAGTGTTTGGATCTACTGCAATCACACTGGAGGTGTTATTCTTTTATTATAAGCATTCAAGTCTTATTGCTACCTTCCCTTTCCTTTCCAGGGTACAGGCAGCACTGGTTTGAACAAAGCTCTGTTTCGCAAGCCCCTTGGAACACTCCCATGAGAACGGCTATTATTCCTTCTGATTTATATGCTAGCCTTTATGGGATACACTTTACTTTTTTACATGTCTGTGTTTTGCCTGCTGGATTCCTTTAGCCTGCTTCAGTGTACTTTATAATGGATCTATTCCTTCTTCTACTTCTAGCTTTTCCTTTAAGACCAAAACCAATTTATTTCTTTAGTCTCAGTCATTTGTAGGCTTTAGTATTTATCAGACGCTCACAAGTGTCCCCATGTTTCAGGCATTATTCCTGGGAGTGGCATCACTTCTTAATTTTTTCCCGGTAAGACAGTACAAAAAGCTTTGCCTTCATTTCTTCATCTTTATTGCCCATAGGCAGCTCTCTATACTGTTTGCTTCCACTCCTGTACAGGATTTTTGTCTAGAAATTAAGCTCTGTGCTGTCTGCTTCTGTTTCTTAGTTCTACATTGTTTTCATGCTAATCACACTATTGTTGATGCTCTGAGTCTCTTTAGCTTGACCTCTTCCACCACGTTTCTTGTACCTCATGCTGAGTAATTGGAACACCAAATGTATATCCCAAAATCATTTGTAACTAAAACAACTATTTACAAAGCTGCTGTGACTGCAGCTGGTATTCACACTAGTGTACTACTTGGTGCCCTTCCAGATTCTTTCCTCCTCAGCAGGTTGCTCAGGGCCTAATCCCACTCTAATCTAAGCCCTCTAGAAATTGCCCTCTTGGAGCCATCTGGCAGTTTCAGTTCTTATCCCAGCATGGAGCAAACAAACCTAGCCCTACTCTGGGAAAAGATAGCAATCCCAAATGTAACCCCATACTTTGCTCCTGAGACAAGAGTTTGTGCCCGATAAGATTTACTTGACACTTTTTGACCCTAAACTTTTTTTTCTATTAAAAATACCAGTTAAATAGCTTTATTTTTGTTGGTATTAACATTGATTAAATTACCTTTATATATCATAGTGCATGCTCTTCCTTCCAGTGTATTCTTGGTCCTGTGTTTCTTTTCCTGTTTTTATCACAGACACTGCCTGCTACCTTCACTGTAGAAATAAGATAAAGAAAAATATCTTTTGTCATGTTTATTTTACTTCTAGAATAAAAATGAAAAGGAACACTTGCAGTGAAGCAAGTCAAAAAGGCTGATTCTTAAGCAATCCACAACAATATCTCAAGTGTATAATTACACTAAAAAATGCAGATTTTTTTTTTCATTTTAACTGACTGTACAATACACTAAAAAGAACTATAAAATTTCCTGAATGACTCCCATTCTTATATGGCTTGAGGGTTTTGTACCCCCCAAATGAGCCTACTACAGACCAGTTTCTGAGATGATAAAACTACCACCTTCAAATATGGAAGCTGAATGAAAATACAATAATCATATTAATGGTTGATTTTATTGATTTGGGTGGGTTTTTTTCCATTTTTATTAGTAGAAGAGTGGCTTGGCTACAGAATGTTTGTACTTCAAAAAGATTTGCAATAGCTAAGTAATATTGAGCAAAACTATGCAACAATAATATCGACAGAGTAACAACTACGTCGGTAAACTTCAGAACTTCCAAAGGAAAATAACTTGAAAAAAGTATTGTTTCTAATATTATCAGGCCGAAACGATGTTACCGGCCTGTATTTTTTAATAGATTCTTTTTGAGCACTGATTAAACTCAATAAAACCTGTGCTTTTGTTCATTCATTAAATTAAGTTGCTTACCTCTAGTTTGGAATCAAACTAGCCAATATTTTTTTACTGGTATTTACAAAGTGAAGTTACAGAGATAACTTTTTACAGTGCCATTAGAGGTCAGAATAGAACACAGGCAAAAAAAGTTGATGCCTAAAATGATATACAGTTGGCATTTGTTCTTAATTAATTCACCCATCTACCTTGTCATCAGTTCTGTTCTGTAATTAATGACGCAAATCTCTAGCATATCACCAGGCATGTAATTTCCATAATGTTGAATTGTGTAACAGTCCAATAGTTCATCTTCAGAACACATAAGGTTACGAACCATTACAACAGTTTATTTTACAATGATAAAATGAAATTTTTAAAAAAATGGCAACTTGCTTATATATTTTGCTAGGTATAGTGGCAGTGATCAAATATGAATGCACATCACATTTGCTCTCTGTGGATCAATATTTTTCTCAATAGAAAACAATGCTGAAAACTTTTGTCAAAACAGTCTCATTTTTGAAAATAAAATACATAAAAAATACAGCAGTAAAAGAACACCTTTATCTTTTTCAAATGACCCTCTTCATTGTATTTTTCCATTAATATTTTAAAAGGGTTTATTCTCAAATAGGAAATTCATTGGTTTCGTAATTAGAAATGAGATAAGAATCTTAATTAAACTGCCCTAAATAAAGCTAAGTTCTGAACCATAGTTTTACTCTCTATTTCATGCAGTGGTTATAATGCATCACTTTTTAGAGTAACTAAGAAGTCAGAACTTTTATTCCACTACTAGTCTTGACATCTCTGTGATAAATAGGTCACGTGCCCCAAACATACCAAGTGTGTGGCTGTCTCAGGAAAAGACCTCCCAACAGTGAATGAACTGAAGTGGTCTCAGTTCTGCCAGTTAAATTACCTCAAGTAACAGGCCACATTATTGATGGACTGATGCTCCCAAACCATTATTTAGAGCTATCTCTCCTGTGGATTCTTACACTACCTTACAGCCTGCAATCTAAATATATCCTTTTGTCTTCCAAGCCATTTTCTTCATCTGCAAGCAGGGGATTTTTTTAGTCCACGAAAAACTATTCCTCAGCTAAATGAGAAAGCAAACAGAAAAATTTGAAAATTACTGATAAAGAACATAAAACCTAAAGGCTGAGGGCAAATCAACAGTATCTGGAAAAATATTAGATTTAGTATAATGAAAATTTCAGTAGAAATAAGATATACAGTGAGCACTGAGTCACCATTAAAAAAGGTTACTCGTACATCAAGTACAATAATGTTGATTAACATTAAATATTTGAACAGCAGCTAAACTGCATGAATCCACTCAGTTGCCAGGAAAGGTTACATAGATCAGTGTGTGATGAGTACTGAAATGTTATTAGAAATTATTAGTGAAAGATTGCACTTGAGAAACAAAATTTAAGACAAATCCCCACATACACCCTTAACACATTTAAAGAAATACTCTC